ATGGCAATTACCCAAACTATCCATTGTAAAAATTGATCTGCTGTACTTGTGGTAGTTGTGTGCACAGTTGATGTGTGCAATGAGGGGTCGTTGCCAATGTTCTGGGCGTGCTCCCTCTCAGATTTACCTCAGAATAAAGTGGTTTAGATCATCTGTTGGCTTGTTTACAACCTGTCATTTTGCCCCATCAGACTTGTTGTTGTGCAACGGGCCATGAGATCCCTATTTTAAAGTAAACATAAAAGTATAAAGCTGAGGATGAAACTAGCTAAATGGATTTTCGCAATGTGGAAACTTTTATTTATGGCTTTTTACTGCTCAGTGAAGCATTCAAAATGACAAAGTAACTGTTAATAAAAACTTGCAAACACTTAATAAAGTATGCCTTATTAGAACCTCTCTCTGCTGCCATTGTTCAAGCAGCGTTTCAGCAGAGAGGAGCACACCCTGAAATTACGGCATGACAGATTTTCATCAAGAGGAGTTCCTCAGGGTGTAATGACGGACGATAGGGGTGAGTCAGGCTTATAGGGTTTACCTCAGTGAGTGCCAGGGGTGGAACCTGGAACCAGTTTGGAAGAAGCCCCCACATGCGTGCACAGGCTGCTGCGACCATTAAGACTTATTCTAGCATGGGACAATGGGATTACTGTGTGTACACGTGTATTTGTGGGTGTGTGTGTGTGTGTGCGCGCATACAGGCATCCATGCGTGCAAGCCTGCGCGAGTGTCGATGAGAGGAGTCAGAGACATCAGTGTGTGTTTGTGTATGGATTTGCGTTTGTGTGGATGGGCACACTCAGACATGAGCCAAGCCACCAGCCGGCCACATAAAAGCATGTCTCTGGGAGGTGGAATTTTAATGTGGAAATGGGAACAATGATTTCTACTTTTAAATGTGGACAAGAAGCAGAGCCCATTGAACAGCAGACCAAAAATGATGGATCAATTATTAATACATTTACCGTCACACTGTGAGCGTGTGAGTGTGTGTGTGGGCGGTGCTTGCATGCAAAGTCGCTACATGTACATGTCCACTTCTCTGTGTGCTGTCATGTGTCCTCTGTGAGTTTGTGTTTGCCTGCTTATTCACGCGTTTGCTTCCACCCAGTTTGGCATTAGCGAACTTGTTATGTCTTATTTTCAGACATGCGGATGCTGTGTGCTGAAGATAGCCAGTCGAAAGAGCTTCTTTGTGCGTATGTGTGTGTGAAAGAGAAAGAGACAGAAAAAGCAAGAAAAACGAGAGGAGGAAGAGCTCAGTGTTTTCCTCTCTGTCATAAAATTATCTGAGTATTTTATTCCATCTCTTTAAAAATAAGTTTCATTATGTCTTCCCTTCACAGAAATCACAGAAACAAAACCCTTTCGCATGTGGAATTCATGTTGTCACATGTGTGATATTTTATTCCACATGTGAGATAGAGTAACCGTCGAAAAACCTCGTTTCAAATGTGATATAACCGGGGCGGATCAAAAGGGGTGGCAGCAGTTGAAGCTTTCACACCTAAAATAATGCATTGCTTCCCCAGTCTTTTTTCAAATTAATTAATTATTTCACATTAATTAAGATTAATTTTTAAAATAACATGTTAAAAAAGAGAAATTATTATTAGAATGATGTTTTATGGCCACATTTTAGATTAAGTGATAGGTTAAAATTCAATGAATAAAGTGAATGTCCACCAATGAATAATTCCACCTATAGATATTTCTATTCAATGCTTCATTATTCAATTACTGTGCCACAATATGTTTTTGAGTTTATGGGAGCTTTTCCAAGCAAATATTGATATATGTGATATCTATATATATATATTGATTAAATCAGCATACACTTCTTCCACCCCTTAAAGTCTCCATGACACCCTCTGGACCCACCCCTGGATATAACATGCGTTTTACATGCAATAACTTACATTTAATTTGCAAAATATTTGAAAATGCCATTTGCCTGTATCCTGTGAATTTATGAAATGTTTAATGTCTGAAAACCACATGTGAATATAGATTTTTCACATGTGAAATTGTGCTTTACATATGATTATCATGTAATCTTGTGATGTGCTATCTTTCTACTTATTCTTAGAGTTTATATGTCGATATTTTCCTCACATAAATTTGACATTGCATACTGTAACTAAGCTTTCATGTTAAAAAAAGGAAATGTCCATGTGTAGCAGATGAACTAAAACTACTGTTATATATAGCTATCTGTTTTGGTTTGTGTTCCTAAATGTTGCCGTGGTGGTCTTAGGATGCTCTGAGATTGCCCTGCGGGGTCCAGTCCATTCTGTTCATAGTGGATTAAATGATACTCCCCCCTGTATGACCAGATAATTAAGAACACAGCTCGGCCTGACTGCAATCACAGATATAACTGAGATATAAACACAGTGGAAGAGAA